CTGTGATCCAGTCGCCCGGTGCAGAACTTGGTTAAAAAATTGATCTTAAATCTTACTCAAATCTTAGTTCAAAAACGGTCGCGCCATAGCTGAAGTTGATTAGAGATTGAATGCCCGGCTCTCCCTCGTCCCGCCAGACTTGCTGCAAACCGCCCGTTAGCGACAGTGCCTAATCTTTAGCAAGGGAAAAAAGCTGGGTCGCTTCCAACTGCTGATGTTGAGCTATATGCACTTTTGATTATTGAACATTTTACATTCCAATGCCCAGCTTTGCGCCTGCGGCGGCATTGTTGCTAACGTTCAGGGCTTGCAGCAGGTGGGGTAATAGAATTCCGTCCGCCCGGCCACTGAACTTGATTTATTGAAAAACTTCTTTTTAAACTAATCTCCTTTAAAAACGGTCGCACCATAGCTGCTGCTGAATAATGCCCCACTGACCATTGCTCTTCCGTCAGCCCCCACTTGCTGCAAACCCATGTTGTAGGCAGTCTATTCTTGGACTGCAAGCCCTATCTGGTCGATTTCCGCATAGTTTCCGATACCCTTTGGATTTGGCCCATATTTGTTTTCGCCATGCTCACTATCAGCAAACAGCAACCAAAAAATATAAAACGGAATAAACATGAAGCCTGCTGAGTTTCCACGGTCATGACATCTTTTAGCTGCTTGCGCTATTATGAACCAAAAAAAAGGTATAAATCCGATATAAATAATTGGAATATCACCCATAGCCTCAGCTGTAACTGAAACAATAGATACACCAATTATGTAAATGATGTAAGACAGACCGAACTCTAGCCTTCGTATACGACCTTCAAATGAAAACGATTTTTTAAACATGTTTTTCGGGTTAAGGGTGATTATGGATGGTTAAAATTGTATTGGAACTTCGATGAACGCGGTCAATTAAAATACGTTATCATCATATAGATTGCCTACAACGTTGGCGGCTTGGCGTCAGGTGGGGCTTCAGAATTCCGTCCGCCCGGCCACCAATCTATGTTTTGAAAACGAATTTACCTTTTTAAACCGATCTCCATCTGAAACAGTCGCAACATAGCTGAAGCCGATTAGAACCCAGCTGCTCATTCCTCCTCCGTCCCGCCCCACTTGCGCCAAACCGCTGTTAGCTACAGCTTTTCTAGTAACTCACACCATTTGGAAACTGGCCGTTTTGCAGGGCGCCCAAAAACTTCAGGTAGACAAAACTTACATGCAATAAGCTGGCCCGATTAAACATCCATTTCGTCAGCCCTTGCAAAACGGGGACTAAATATTGATGAGCCCAGAAAACATGAAAATAAAGTTGTAGCTAACGTTCAGGGCTTGCAGCAGGTGGGGTAATAGAATTCCGTCCGCCCGGCCACTGAACTTGGTTTATTAAAAAACTTCTTTTAAACTAATCTCCTTTAAAAACGGTCGCACCATAGCCACTGCTGATTAATGATTTGCTGACCATTGCTCTTCCGTCAAGCCCCACTTGCTGCAAACCCATGTTAGGTGCAGGGCTTGGGTATATTAATTTTATAAACTTCATTTACTTACTCCGTATTGGAATAAAAGTCTCTACGTAGCAAGGCGTGTCGCTTATGAATATTCCTTTTTCAAATGCAGTTTTATGGAGTTTTGGGAGTTTGTCAAATTCTTTTTTCCTAAGCCTGTCTATTTGTTTCAATGTTTTGAAGTCATATGTCCACCTTGGAAGCAAAATTACTTCAAGATTATTGCAAGGGTCAGTCAGCTGAAGTCTTTTCCATTCCATTCCTACATCTGCTATTATTATAGTTTTTGTGTCAGATGGAATTGTTATGTTGAAACTGCCAGTTATGTCGCTTTTACCTATTTCTATAGTGTCAACATTAAAAATCTTGGTTTGAACAAAAGGTTGGAAATCGTAGCCAATTATCTTGCCTGTTAAATTACGTGTCTGTCCTGCAACTTGTGTCACAGAAAGTAGTGTCAAAATAAAAATGGTTGTTCTAAATATCATGTTTAGAAATGGAAGTCTGTCGCCTTTGCCTTGCACCTAACGCCCGGCGGCTTGCTGCAGGGCTGGCATTCTGTGTTCCAGTCGCCCGGTGCAGAACTTGGTTAAAAAAGTTGATCTTAAAACTTACTCAAATCTCAGTTCAAAAACGGTCGCGCCATAGCTGAAGCTGATTAGAGATTGAATGCCTGGCTCTCCCCTGTCCCGCCAGACTTGCTGCAAACCGCCCGTTAGCGACAGTGCCTAATCTTTAGCAAGGGAAAAAAGCTGGGTTACTTCCAACTGCTGAAGTTGACCTAGAAGCACTTTTGATTATTGAACATTTTACATTCCAATGCCCAGCTTTGCGCCTGCGGCGGCATTGTTGCTAACGTTCAGGGCTTGCAGCAGGTGGGGTAATAGAATTCCGTCCGCCCGGCCACTGAACTTGATTTATTGAAAAAAACTTCTTTTAAAACTAATCTCCTTTAAAAACGGTCGCACCATAGCTGCTGCTGAATGATGCCCCGCTGACCATTGCTCTTCCGTCAAGCCCCACTTGCTGCAAACCCATGTTGTGTGCTGTGCTAGGTTAGTTGCCAAGTTCGGTTGTAAGCAAATTCACAATATCGTTCATATTCTTAGCTTGCCAGTACTCATCCTTGAACATATGCGGCATAGTATAATAATAAAAACGGTATCTCTTTTTAGTGGCAACTTCAATACAGAATGTATTTCCGTCGGCGACACGGCCGGTAAGTCCAGGAAGTGCATCGCAATTAGGTAGTGTCAATATTTTTAAACTTAACAATTTATCTGAAAATGTTTTCCAGCCAGATTTGGGAATAGATATTGCGTGACGTTTTACCAAAATAGTTTCTTTTTCGCCATCCCAACTAATACCCAAGTTATAAATTGCAGCCTTCCATTCCATGCCTATATTAGTAATTACGGAGAGCTTTTGGTTTTGCTGAAAAGAAAACTCAGTCCATATTCGAATCTGCAAATTCTCAAAACCATTTTCAATACTGTCTAATTGAAGCTGTTGTTGTCTTGACTTGACAGTCAAATAGAATACATTAAGTTTTCCCGTTCTATACTTCGGAATTTCCCTCGTAAATATTTTTTGACTGTCGACAAATGCAGGCGCTAAATGAAATGAATTGTTTTGTCCATTACATGCAACAAGAAATATTCCCAACATGGCTGCCATAGATTTTGAACTCATAATATTAGGAAGGTCGAACAGCATAGCACACAACGTTCAGGGCTTGCAGCAGGTGGGGTAATAGAACTCCGTCCACCCAGCCACTGAACTTGGTTAATTGAAAAAACTTCATTTTAAACTAATCTCCTTAAAAAACGGTCGCCCCATAGCTGCTGCTGAATGATGCCCCGCTGACCATTGCTCTTCCGTCAAGCCCCACTTGCTGCAAACCCATGTTGTAGGCTGCTTTATATTCCGGAGCATAAATATCTATCGAATCTGAACCCCTTTTTCTCGCTAATATATTTGTAACTAGAGACACAAGTTCCGCCATTCTCTAGTATAACCTCAAAGTTTACTTGGTGAACTCTAAAGGGAACAATACTTATGTAAAATTTTCCTTTGTCGAAGCCCAAAGGAAATAGCCGAAGCGCAATAAACGAATTGTCAAACTGAAGTCTTTTGGATATCTCAGTCGAGTCAAGCAAAATTACTACACTGTTCATAATTCTGGATGCTAGGCTGTCAGTTAGTAGGTCGTCTTTTAGTATCAATACCGTGTCATTATTTAGCTTCTCGGTTTTCCTTCCATTTACAATATATTGCTTAATAGCATCATTGTAAATATTTCGTTTTCCGCCGTGGTCAGTTGTATTTATGTCCTGTCCAAATAGAGAGTTTGAAAACAATAGACATAAGAAAAATAATTTTCTCATACTTAATCTGATGTATAAGTCGGGACTTTCCATAAAGTAGCCTACAACGTTCAGGGCTTGCAGCAGGTGGGGGTAATAGCATTCCGTCCGCCCGGCCACTGAACTTGGTTTATTGAAAAAAACTTCTTTTTAAACTAATCTCCTTAAAAAACGGTCGCCCCATGACCGCTGCTGATTTA